TTACATAAATCATAATAAATTGATTTTTATTAATTTTCTGTATATCGAATTTTTTTTTCGGACGGACGGACGGACAAGGGGTTTTGTCCGAACTTTTCAATTTTTTTCGGACGTCCGAAGTTTTTTCGGACGTCCGTAGAATTTCCGGACGTCCGAAGTTTTTTCGGACGTCCGTAAAATTTCCGGACGTCCGAAAAAACTTCGGACGTCCGAAAATTTTACGGACGTCCGAAAAAAATGCAAAGCCAAAAAAAATAATCGAGCCAAAAAAAAATTCAAAAGAAAATATATTAGTTTGTATATTAGTTGGTTTACACTTTTTGGTAAACGTTCTTACGTTGGTTGTTGCACTTTGAAACTAAAATATTCTGAGGGAATTTGTTTGTCGCAACGGATCAATTGTGGGATTAGAAGGAAATCATTGGGGCCGAGAAAATTTTCTTTTGAATTATTTTTTGGCTCGAATATTTTTTTTGGCTTTGAATTTTTTTCGGACGTCCGAAGTTTTTTCGGACGTCCGGAAATTGTTCGGACGTCCGGAAATTTTACGGACGTCCGAAAAATCTTCGGACGTCCGAAAAAATTTGAAAAGTTCGGACAAACCCCTTGTCCGTCCGTCCGTCCGAAAAAAAAATTCGGACATTCGGACCGGACGTCCGAAAAAAATTTTTGGTTTTCGGACATTCGGACCGGACGTCCGAAAAAAAATTTCGGTTTTCGGACATTCGGACCGGACGTCCGAATTTTTTCAAAAAATGTTCGGACGGACGGACGGACAAAATTTTGTCCGTTGACACCTCTAAATACATTACATTTTTTAGGATGTCAATCATTTGAATTTCAGTTTCAACTCTAAATTTCGGAATTTCAACATCAATTTTTGTAATCTGCAAGTGATCAAAAACTGTTGATAGATTGTAATTCTTCAATTGGACTTCTAACGCATTCAATCCGGTCCGGTTGTTAGGCAAAATGATCAAGAATGTAAAATTTGAATTGCCGTAAGCTATTTCCAGTCCTTTAGCATCCAATTCTTCCAAATATCCAAAATTAAAATCCATTTTTATCATATGCAGCGAGTCCACCCAAATAGAATCAGTTTCGTTGAAATAAAATTTTATTTTCCAAGGTTGGTATCTTTTAAATGCATACCGCCATTTACTCTTTAAGTAAATGGCATTTACCAAAAACACACGTGTCATATCATTAAACATATTTGGTTTTACGAAATTTTTAATTTTTCGTTTCGTTTTTTGTTCAACAAAACGATTGATTAATTGTGCGGTTTCATTTGATTGTATAAAATTCACTGACTCAATGTCTGATGCAAATTTTTCAACGGCAATTGTTCGAAAGTCTTCGTTTAATTGAAGTCCCCTCTTCACATAAATTCGATTTGCAATTGATAATTCTGATTCGCCAGCACTTTTGCGGATCAATTGATCAAGTTCATGGTATTGATCTGCCGTTATTGACTTATTATCACTCAAGTATAAGCCTTTTCTCAATTTGTCGAAAGTTTTACCGTTGGTCCCTTGCGACAGAAGTGTAAGCAACATCGACATAGAGAATGGCGAAAATACCATATTTCCATCAGCCTCTGATTGAGCGCATTGCTTTGGACATTTTTGTTTTTATTAATTTTAATATTCTTTGATTGGGTTGTATGTGTTTTAAGTATTAGTTACCTCATAAATATCCGCTGAAAATTTACAGATTCCTTGCGTTAACTCTCGAATTTGGACCTGTTCTGATACTGTATTTGAGAAAAACGCTAATAAAGCTACCAACAAAAACGCTGAAATCGCAAATGACAGTGTAGATTGAATATTAGAAATTAAAACAAATGTTTGCACTTTTAAACACCACATTTTACTAAAAACTTTACCTTTTTGCATTTTTTAAATCGACCTTAGTTCTGGAGGTCCTAAAAAAACCAAACTGAACTGCTCAAACTATTTGATAAAACTAAAAAAAATATCCAAACTGTAGTAAGAAACAACTCTATTGGCAATTTAAACTGTGTTATAAATGTATATTGCATAAAATCCACTTAACAATCAATTGGAGTAAATTGAATGAGTGTTTCTAAATCTTTTTATTTCCGCATCGTACGTAACAAATGTGGCTACGATACTGAAACTACGCATCACTTGTCTTATGTTTCAAACAAAACTTTTCTTAAATAAAATAAATGTAATTAAAATAAAACAAAACATTAAAAATAGAAAAGAAGAGAAACGAGAATGTCAGAATACAATCGAACCTTGATCGTCGTACAAAAATCAAATGAAAATTATTGCAATTTGTTGAGAAAAAAAGAATGTTCAATGATCGAAAGTGGAGAATATTTCGTAATAATCGTCATTTGTACACGTTGTGGCATTTGATATATCGGAGAATTATTGCGGGTCGAGTTCAGTTCGATTCGACATTTTCGTATTGATTGCATTTCGTTCATATCATTACGGCTGCGTGATTCATACTTTTATCCATCGGATAGTATCAAGAATCCTACGAAGTTTTCAGAATTGTATCAATGGTTTGATAAGATTTTTGTAGATTTCGATAGACGTGTTCCCGGAATGGAAGAATTCTGTACAATAATGCCGCAATTCAAAAAATGTAAAATGACTAAAAATCTCTTCACAAAGTATACACGAGTTAATTTTGAGGAATGCGAATAATAAATGTAAATTTTGAGATGTGCACAAAGTTTTTGAAATCAAAATGTAAAAAAAAACCAAGTGAAATTCATTTCATTTTCAATGTTAAAAGTACTCCACTTGTTAGATAAGTAACCCACACAATATGGATACAATACACGTAGTTTGCATATGGTATAGCTTCCAAACATTTACATAAGGAAGATGAGATGCACATTTTATGCATCGCATATGCATAGACAATCGACCAATGAACGCACGTATAATGCATATATTTCATTGATTTTCGTACAAAAAAGCATTACATATGGCGCATTGGGTTGAAACTCGTTCCATTGAGCATGAATGACCTGGAGATTTGCGTCAATAACTTCAAAAGGTGTGTATATTGATCTAAAGTATCACGATGATTGTTTTCAATATTTTGGCTCAGCTTTCTTTTTATTTCGGCTTTCTTGAATCTACCTATGAAATTCGGCTCAAATCTTATGTTGTTTCAGGCTTGGCGGCGAAGTGAGCAAAGTGTTCCCCGATTTGTTGCTGGCAACCATGGATATCATTCACACGCAGTACGAAAACTTAAAAGGACGCGATGGATACGCATTCAATACAGATGAGGCAAAAGAACGAGTGAGTTCCCATCCAAAATTTATCTCGTTTGTCTCCATTTCATTCGGAATTTTCCCCAATATTCATCAAAAATTCTTCTTTCTCAAACCAAAACAGCAATTGGCCATTTCGTGTGATCAGGCAAAGGCAATTACAAATATGGCAGTCACAGTTCCATACCGAATGCCCGGCGATATCAGCAGTCGATTGGGACAAACTGAAATTCTTATGCATTAAGTTTGTTCAACTGAAAAAAATCTGTCTGAATTTCCTTACGTTTTAAAAGTGTTATAAGTACTCCTCTTTTGATAATCTAAGCAAATAAATATTAAGTTTTGAATATTTGAACGAGAGAAATGTATTTGAGAGACAATTGTGATATGGTAATGCAATGAGTTTTTGCGGTATTTATAGAGAAAATTGTGAATATTCTGCTCAACACTATTTTCATCTGAATAAAATATCATTCTGTAAAGATGCAACAAAAATGAGGCAAAACGTAAATACCTGGTTCGTTCACATTCAAACAGAATTGTAGTTGACATTACGTTTGTAGTCTAAACCATCCATTATCGTTATTATCATCTTTTTGGCCTAAAAACCAAATAAAAATATATTTGAAAGAAACAAGGTAAGAATGTTGTTTTGAATGGTTTCATTTTGGTTTTCTTTGTGTATATTTTAGTAATTTTGCATACACTTTTTGTGAACAAGTGAATTTATTCCTGATTACTATAAACTGCAGCTATATTTTTAGTTTGATTGAGGTCCTTGAGCATGGGGAACAAAAGAAAGAAAAAATCGTTCGGAAGAAGAAGGCGTGAAGTAAATGTACAACAAAATCGAATTGAAGTGGAAGAAAATGCTGACACTGTGCCACAAAAAACAATCGTCGACATCAACAATGATTGTCTGGAACGCGTGTTCGAGCATTTGGATTTTCGTGACTTAATTCACGTGGCTGAAGCGAACAAGCATCTTGGTGTAGCAGCCGAAGCGGTTTTTGTTCGGAAACTCAAGAGGAGGCTGATAGCGGTTAAAATTGGCAGGTTATTTAAGTATAAGTATCCTGATATAAGCATTCACGACGATGCAATTTGTATTCGTAGGTCGCTGTTAGCTTTCAGAGCCATACGTCTTTTCGGTCAAAGTGTCTCGGCAATACATTTGAAAATCAAAAGAAAATTTCTTCGCGAAAAATTCTTTGTCCATGTCAACGAATATTGTCGCAAGACGCTGAACACTTTCCGCATTTTCGGAAATGATTCAAACATATTTGGTGCCGCAAAACATCGATTTGAAAATTTTGAAGAATTCTCGTCGAGTGAGGGCAAACTAGGCCCTGGATGTGAACATTTCAAACGCCTTTTTCCACGTTTACGTCAACTAACATTCATCGACAATGATATTGTTGAACCGAAATATATTCACAAAACTTTTCCGCACTTGGCCTTCACCTTTGAATACTCTTTTAATTTGGAACCTCCAAAACTATTGAAATTGAATATGAGTGGTATTGATTTCCAAAGAATTGCATCATTGAATCCACATATTCAAAGTATTGCATTAAACGGATATCTAAATCCAAGCATTTGGGAAGTTTTAAACACGGAACTGAAGAATTTGAAAAGTATTTCAATTTGTTATTCGCCAAAGCATGTTGTATGCTATAATTCACTCATTCGGTTCAATAATGTTGAAATATTCGATGTGCTCTGTAAACTTGATTACAGTAAAGTTACTCCAAAAAATGTGTTCTCTTTCAAGCGTCTAAAGAATATGAAAGTACGGTGCTATAAAAATCAACTCGAAGGGTGGTTAGATTTTATTTTAGCACATCCCACAATTGAAGTGCTTGTGATAGATTTGACATGGATGGATGAATATCAAACATGCTTAGAAAACCTACACCACAAACTAAATAGAGTGAGACAAAATACGCAATTTATCACGTTGCAGATGGACTACTTCGAATACTTTGGGGAGGAAGGGGATAAGTCTGATATGTTGGGATTAAAGAAATATTTAGAGGCTCAAAAGTGGTTTGATAGGTTTTCTGTAGTATTTAGTGGTCATGAATTTGCAGAAGTTGATGATTTGATGGAAAATACTCCTCGAATTAAAAATTATGAAATCAAAAAATATAACTTAATTGAAAAACCTTATGTTGATTTTGATAAGCGCGAATAATAAATACAAATTTTGAATTGTGTTCAAAGCTTTGAGTTCAAATGATGAAAAAAAAAGATTATCGTAAACCATCCAAATTGTAACATAGTTCCAATTGTAACATAGTCTTAAAGTAAACCACTTTTCTGAAAAAATACAAATAATTCATAATTTATATTCATATCGGAAGTTTTTTTCGTGATCTTCTCAAATATGATATAAAAAACAACAGTTACCCTTCAAAGTTTTGCAGAAAATTAGTCTATTTGTTCAATTGTTACAATTTGGATGGTTTACGATATAATTAGCCAAGAATGTAAAATAACAAAAAACCACAAGAACTCTTTTCAAGAATCACTCTATCTATTTTAAAAGCAAATAAATGGAAATGAAACTAAAAACCTGTTTTTTTTTTTATCACACTGTTTGCTGTAAAAGTGATGGTGATTTTTCTTCCAGCCGTTTTGGTATCGTTATGATAATTCATTTTCTTTTTTGAAAAGTTGACGCTCGGAAAGAGATTTCAAGTTATTATATCAGCCCATTACGGTTCTTATCAAGAAGGAATTTGAGGATTTAAATGTTTGCAGAATGATTTTCTCTGAAATTTACTAATAACGGCTTCGTGAATCTGTGATCCCTGTACCTGTAAATTGAATATTGTTCACAGGTTATGTGACACATATTTGGGAAGGTTGACCAATTCCTGTTTCTAGGTATTCTCACAAAACATAGTACAAACGGAATTATAAATAACGGGACGAATCAGTAATTCAAGACATAATAAAGTCGATCAATTAGTATTCGTCAGCAAAAAGAGAAAGAAAAACCAAATTAGTCTTCAATAAAGGAGTGAGTCTAATGTGAGAAATATAAAATATTCATTGGTTCACAAATTTAACAAGTGACTTTAACAGTTCAATTGACTTCGTTTGTTAATGAGAGAACAATTTCGTCTCTTCATTCAAACAACGACAAAAAGGTGAAGCTATTCTAAAATATTTTTGAATGGCGAACAAAAGAAGGAAACGGTCGATCAGAAAAGGGCGTAAATTGAATGCAAAATAAAATTGAATTGAAGCCGAGGAGAATGCTGGGACTGTACCAGCAAAAACAATCGTTGATATCGATAACGATTGCTTAGAAAGAGTTTTCGAGATGCTGGATTTTCGTGACTTAATTTACTTGGCTGAAGCAAGCATCTAGGTGCAGCAGCCGAAGCGGTTTTTGCTCGAAAACTCAAAAGAAGATTGATTGTCGTTGAAATTTTATCTGTACATAGATCCAATGACATGGATATTTTCGACGATGCAATTTATATTTATCGGGAGTTTTTAGCAGTCCAACTTATGCGGCGTTTTGGTCAAAGTGTTTCTGGAATTCATTTAAAACTCAAAACCATTACGATTTTTTTGAAAAGCGTCAGGGGCCAGCGAGATATACAAATTGTATCTCTTCGCGAAAGTTTATTTCTTCACGTCAATGAAAATTGTCACAAGACGCTGAATGATCTAATCATTTGGGGAGATTCATACAGAGTTCGTTCACTCATGTTCGGGGTAGTGAAACATCCGTTTGAAAACGTTAAAAAATTCTCATTTCATAAGAAGTCAGTTGGAGCTGGGTGTGAACACTTTAATCGAATTTTTCCACGTTTACGTCAACTTGAAGTCGATATGCTCAGTGAAAAGGGTACAGACAAACATCCAATCGCTATATTTTCTTTCAAGCGTCTAAAGAATATGACAGTGAGATGCTACGAAGAACAATAAGAGGTGTGGTTAGATTTCGTTCTGGCACATCAAACAATCGAAGGCCTTTTGATTTGGATTATTAATCCTGAGTCCATGCTAGATCATCTAAATGAGTTTGAAAAAGTACGCCAAAAATTAATCAAAGCGCGTCAAAATACCAAGTTCATATCATTACGGCTGCGTGATTCATACTTTTATCCATCGGATATCAGGAATCCTACGAAGTTTTCAGAATTGTATCAATGGTTTGATAAGATTGTTGTAGATTTCAATAGACGTATTCCCGGAATGGAAGAATTCTGTACAATAATGCCGCAAATCAAAATGTAAAAAAAAACAAAGTGTAATTCATTTCATTTTCAATGTTAAAAGTACTCCACTTGATAAGCAAATAAATCGAAATGAAACCAAGGAAAGACTGTTTTGTTTGAGATATTTTATTGTTTGCAGTAATAATAAATGATCAATTTTGTTTTGTTCACTGTAAGAGCCAATTTTGGTTTTTGTATTGATTTTTTCTTCTGTAAAAGTGATGATGATTTTCTCTCTCAGTCAATTTGGTTTGGTTGTGATAATTTATTTGATTTTTTTTTTAAATATCATCTTATTTTTTCGCCCAGCTCATTCAATCAATTCACGGTTATCATTGACCTTACAAGACAAACCTAGTAGCTAAACCAATATTCAATGCACATTCCATTCGCTGTGATGCAAAAAAAAATTATTACTATTACAGATTCTGTCATTTTTCCGTTCATCATATTTTTTGTTTCAATTGATAAATTCCTATTTGATTCAATAAAAAAACTGCCTATTGTCTAATCCTGCCATACGCACCGCTTTAAGTGTCCCGACATTTCATGCGAATATTCAATACCTGTGCAATGGTCGTTGTTTCAAACATAAATTCGATTGAAACGTGTTTCTTTCCTAACAAAAAAAAACGAAGGGTTGAAATGGTTCCAAGCGAAAATGATTGACAATCGATTTACATCTAAAATCCATTGCATCGATGAACAAAAAAAAAATTCAAGTTCAAAATTAGTTTTGAAGGCTGATTCTAAAGCGTTTCAGTGATATATTTACTGATAGATATTTTTCTAGATCTCACAACATTTATTGTGTTCCACCTGCAATTCTGCTCGATGTCCAAGAGATATAGATAGACAGAGAGAGAGGCAGAGAGACTTTTAAGCCGCACACGATACGATGTTGGTTCGTTTCTTTCACTTCCTTGTTTATAATAAATTAGTACACGTGTAAACATCTAATTTTATTGAATTTTTCAAGCACTTAGGAACGTAATCGTACACATTGTCATTGCTCCTTTGGGATTCCCACGCATAAGAGTTTTAAAATTGATGTGCTAGACAGAATGAACGAATGAACAGACCAAAAAGCAAATCAATCAATTTCTTTTCAACTGAATACCCATTTTCCATTCGAAGAATGCCTCAAACGATGTTAAAATACTAAACTTGGTTTTGATAGTAATAGGCTGCTGTGGACATCCCCGAGCAAATCCCCGTGTGTATGCGAATTATTGTTTGGGTCGGCAATGGCAAATAAAATTGTTTCAATAATAATAAACTATTGGTCTTTGGAGTGATCCGATGGAGCTGGAACTGCGGCTGCATTCTCCGCTTCGACAACATCCACAATCGACGCTATCGGTGAATCTAGCTCGGGTGCTGCTTCAAATGAAAAGAAAAAATAGATTCGGAATTGCAATTACGTGTGAAGAAAAATAGCGACATTCCAACATCGAAAGCAAATTAAGTCAGCTAAAGCAAAAAAAGAACTGAAAAAATCCAGATTCAAATCAGCCGATTGAAATTAAACACAATCAAAAGAAGAAAAATGAACAAAAAACCATAAAAATTATTGTTATATTCCTTCCTTTCATTAGCCATAAGGAATATAAATTTTCTTTTATTTCGTTTCTTAGAAAATAGAAATAAAATTAAATTAAAATAGTAAAAATAATTTAGCGCTTCGTCGTCTGTCAATTTGTATTGTTCTCTCTCAGTTCAATTGATTTATTATTCTCGTTAAATTGGATTTATTCTTTATTGTGTGTATGTGTGGTGTGTGTGTGTGTTTATTTTTTAGCTGAAAACTTATAAAATCGAGTCTTTCAAGTCAATAGAATTGTTGTTGTTTTTTTTTCTTCTCTTCACATATTTTGTAAGCAAATTAATTTAACATCTTGAGGACATGCCCTCATTTTTCGATTTTTTTTAACTTTTTTCACTCTTTGTTTTATTCGTTTGTTAAGAAATAACACATTTCCTCTGAAGAAGTAACAACGAAAGAAAAAGAAGAATTTATTCAAAATCCGAACGAAAAGTTGTATTTGGTCACTTTGTTCCTCTTGTGAAGCTTAAGAATATGCGTCTTATTCGAGTTAGCTTTAAAGCAACAGGTAGCATTCGGATCACGATTGAGTGAGAAATAAAATGATACGCAAGAAAAAGATGATTTTTTGTTTGTTTGCCGTGAAGAGAAATCGATTCTATTTGTATTTGTATTTTTTTTTCTTTTTTCCGTTTAATGGTCAACATAAACACACAACAAATTGCTTGCCTTTCTTCACAAAATGTTATTTTAAATAAATAAGTGATTATTACTGATTTATTGCAACGAGAATGAAATAAAATTGATAAATCTTCGATTGCTTGTGCGATTTGTCTATTGTTAATGTTATTGATTTTACTGTGATTGTTTCATGTGTATGTGTGTTTCATTTTCTTTTTCTTCTGCGAAAAATTAGTGTACTTGTTTGTGTTTGCACGAGAAGTAAGAAGAAAAGAAGGAATACCGAAAAAAACATAAGGTGAAAAAAGTAAACAAACTAAAGCAGCAAGTGTGTGTGTGTGTGTGTGCAGTTCATTTGAAACTTGTGTAACCTTCCGTTGAATTACCTCCTGAACCCGATATTGATGGACCGGGGGGTGTGGTCGGTGTTGTCGCATTCGAATTGGCGGCCGAACCACTGCTGCCGCCACCACCACCACCGCCAGCATTTGATGATGCACCAGCTGCACTGCTGCTTGCTATCGGTTTCAGTTCTTTGATTTGCTTAATCAAATAGGCTTTTTCGTCGTTAAACTGCTCGTCTTCCGATCGATCGGTGTGAAATTTCGTTAGGAAGTCTATCAATTTCTCCTGATTTCGCAGCAATATATCCAATATTGGCTTCGGTTTGTTTGGATTTGCCACGAAAACCTAGGTCACCGGAAAGGGAAAAAAAGCCAGATGTGATGAGTCAGTGCGAAATGGAATGCAAATACAAATCCAAAAAAAAAAAAAATCAAATTCAATGGCTTTTAAGCGAAGAATACAAGAAATTCTAATTCAAACAACAACAAAAAAAAATGGTGGAAAATTCGGCGAAACAAACGTTTCAAAAAAGTGCTTAAAACCTGATCAATATACCTTGAACACGTGGAAGGCTTCAAATTGAATATTACGCGATTTCTCTTTTAGCATATTCATCATAAGCTTCAAATTTTCTGGGTTTGAAATATACCGAGTCATTACCTGCAAAAAAGGAAAGTATTGATTGAGTTCATTCACGTTTTTGTTCCACTGTCGGTGCGGAATTGATTATTCGTCATTCGAATTCGAAAAGAGAACTTGATTCACATCACATTGTCACAATTTGTACTTACTGTAAAGTTATGTCTATCCAATAGCAATTCGCCCAATAGTTTTAAGCTTTGTCTACGTGTTACATAATTCTCTGAGCTTAACAATTGCTGATAATGTGTAAACACCTGGTCATAGTTTGCCTCCAAGAATTCAGCACACAGCATTTTATGACGTGTTAGTAGTTCCTAATTGCGAAAAGAAAACGCAAAATAAACATCAATGTTTCCAGTTGTGTCAACACAAATCCAATCGATTTGGATCAATACTGCACGCTCAACAATAAAACCCAAAATTGAATCTAGTTCTGTCTGATTATATTTACCTTAAACGTAGAAAATGCATCAGATGCAATGTCAAATGTTGAAACTTCAACGTAACGGAAAAAATTGAAGAATTCATTTGAATGTAACATAATTTTGGCCAATGCTTCGTACCGTGCGCATTCACGTAACATTGTTCCACAGTTCAGTGCGATTTCTTGGTGTTCATAGCTGTAGAAGATGATGATGTGTTGTAAGATATTTTGTAAATGGTATGTGTGTGTGTTTGTGTCCCGATTTAGACTAAACAACATAACGTATAATGTGAATTACCCAGCTATTAACGTAAATAGAATTTCCGGTTTTGTGCAAATGTATTCAACAGTCGGTGACCGAGTGCCAATTTGCCGTCTAAGTACATTATTAAAAACTTGTGCCACATCTTTCTTGCCCTCGAAATCAATGCGATTCAGATTCTGTAAAACGAAACGAAAGAAGAAAAAACACCATATTTAGCTCTCTCAATTATGCAATTTTCGTTCGTAATGGATGAAGTGACGTTTTATGAAATTGGTGTTGGCAGGCACTATCGCTGGATTGACGTAGTATGTGGATGACAAGTGATGATGCACGCCACGCCAAACATATACACCACACACAAAACGCGCGAGTCAAGACTCAAGCGATAGCACGTGCTTCGTGTGCAATGTTTTTGTCGTCATTCATGCAATTTGCTTTCGATAAGCAAAACTAACCTGAATCAAAAGTAACAATAAATTGCTGTTGTACAATTCTTGTGACAGTTGTGCTACGACGTAGTCAGTTTGTGGCTCCGAATCGGATGTTCCATACAACATGTTTTTGATAAGAACCTGCGAAAAACAACGTCATCAATGTATGAATGAATGGAATCAGTGTTCAAAGTCCGTATTGCGCGACTGGAATTGACTTTTTCTTTCATCTAATGCGATTTTCTTCAATAGCAAAAGCGAAAATACTTACTAAATTTTTGCTAACGTCTTCTTGAGCCTTTTCCGCCTTTTTATCGCCTCGCTCCAGTGCAGTAACGGCTTCCTTCAGTGCTTTCACCAATTCGGCCGGTGACTTTTGTGATTTCCCAAAGAGCGGCATGTTGTTGTGGTGGTGGCTTACTTCGTAATATGACCTTAGATTGGGATGAAATCAATGCGCGTGCCAATGGCCGAATGTCTTTGTTTGCTCTGAAATTTCCAATGGAAAATGTTCCAGATTTTGCTATTGTAAATAGTAATTCGATCTGATAAAGTGTAATTACCTTTAGTTCAATTGTGATTCGTTGGAGCTCTTGAATTCCTCGCCAAAGCAAAGAACAAAAAGGCGCCACAAGAAATGTCTATGAACAAAACAAGAAGAAAATCGTAGAAAATCAAAATCACAATATTACAAATAGTGATTGTTTGCTGCTGTTCATAACTTAAATAGCAGACGCAATTAGTTTCACGTTTCAAATAAATATATTATTGCCAAATTGGTTTTTTTTCTCTTTCGATTGAGAGAAAGGGAAAGAGAGTAAACGATTTGCGTAGAATTTGTTGTCGTTTGACGACAAAGCACACCACAAAATTGTTTCAAAAACAAACGGGAAAAAACGAAAACATCTTTGAATCTCTGTATAAACAAATCCCGAGGTATTAAAAATCATGTACACACCGAGCGAGCGAAACAGAGACGCAGCGAATCTGTGTCTGTGGTGTTTGTGTGTGACGGCACACAGTCCTCTCTCACTCTGTCGCATTGTGCGATGCACAACTGCGATTCGTACGAGTCATCGAATCGACCACGATAACGTTCTACATGTATGCGCCAGTGAACACATGTGCATTTATTGCTCTCGATATACTCTCATCACGAAAAATGTTGTAATATCATATCACCCGTGTCTGTTTTTAAATATACACGTACTCTTCGATTTCAACGTAATCGTTGTAAATAAACAACAAGAGAGCCGAGCGAAGAAAAAAAAATGAAGATATCGTATACGCTGAATTTGTTGTGCAAAACAACGACGATTCGAAGAAAAACAAAACACTTGATTGGAAATACGACGATACTATAATCCCGTGACACCCCGTGTCTATTTAATCTGTGAATTGCATCAAAAACCGTTCACTTGATGTTGTTGTTGTTCTCTTTTTTTCATGCTCGCTCTCATTAAGAAGCTATTTTTCACATAATTTCGACAATTATTATTAATTATTTGTACATTTTGAATATGTTAAATACCGGTGCCAATTCACACACAAAATGTTCGGTTGCTTCGGCTGTTTATTCGAATGATTTATATACAACAGTAAAAGAAAAGAAAAAACTGACACTGTTCAAGAGGTGTATGCATATATATATATATATATAATATATATATATATATATATATTCAATGACAATGACCATCATACATAAGCACACACGGCGCTATTTCTTATTCTTGCACACAGGCACTCCGCATACACAGACACTCTGCACACGATGTGTGAGGGAGTGAGAGACACAAAAAAAGAAATGAAGACGAGAGAAAAAAAAGCAGATCCCGTCCATCCCGAAAGTTACGAAAACAGAACACACACACCACAAATGAATAAAAATAACCAAATCAAGATGAATTTTTTTTATAGATTCGCATGTAAACGTGAACCTATAGAAAAAATCAGACAGAAGCGAAAAAAACCGAAACGAATGACTGCTATTCCGATTATCACGTAAAACCACACAATTTCGGAAAATGATGCGAAAATAAATTAGGTAATACACAACGGTGTGTGTGCGAATTTCGTGATGGCAACAATAGCACAGATAAAAAAAAAATGATTTATCATCGCAATACTGTAAAAATTGAATTGAACTTTTCCACTCAGATTTGTTTGACTCGATTCGATTGTCTTACTTTATGTTTCTTTTTTTTTCTCTTGTTGGTTCGGTTTGTTTAAGCCTGTTGGATTTTCTTTTAGCGTATTGGCTCCAATGCACTTTATTGATTTCTAGAATTAAAACACCGCACACAACACACTGAAGAAGAAAGAAAAAATCGTCGACGAAAAAAAACTGCAAATAGATTTCGATTTTTTGGGGTTCTTTTTTCTCTTTCTTTCCGTATAGTTTTGATGTCGTGTCCGTCAAACTCGTAGCACAGGTCTCACCACTGCTGGAAACAGTTTGCGATTGGCGTATAATAGCGTAAAGAACTAATGAAAAAAAAAAACATAAAATGTAGAAAATCTTCGAATGATGATACATTTGACAGTTCAGTCTTCGCTGTTTTATCAGTATGCGTGTGTATGTCCGTGTTTGTATCTGTGTATGTGAATGACACATTGACCGCAATTGTATTCGACTATAGCTTATTTTTGACAAACGGCTTTTTTCTTCATCGGTACCTATCTCTCTGTGTGTGTATGCTCTCAAGCTCGTTGCACGGCTCTGACATGAAGTAGTCTGCATGTTACACGCCTTCATCAAACCAGACGCAGACACACACACACACACAACAAATGAAGAAGAAGAAATGAAACGCAACGAAGACACAGAGTGTTGAAAAAAAAACTGACTATGATTTGGAACAAAAGCTTACATAATGTGATGATTCATGTTTTCTTATCCTGACAACTTTTCCAAAGGCTTACGCTTATTCTGAACCGCATCGCATGTCCTTTATTTTGCAATTTATTTATTTCATTCAGCACAAATCTCTTCTTGTCAAATTAAAATACAATCGAATGTGGTGTAGAGCAAAAATTCAATTCCAACATTGTTGTCATTCGTTAAAAATGGATAAAAATGGAACTTAAAACAAAAAGTAATGGTGTGTTTCCCTAATGAAATTATATGTGACGAAGATTTATGCGTTCCGTATGCCCAACGCCTGTTCCAATTCGGCACGTTTCTGATTGACTTTGGTGAAGAAATATCGTGAAACGGCTTCGTTTGTCCATGGCTGATAATAGAATTCGGCACGGCGTTCTTCTTCCGGATTGCCGACTACATCGGTCATTGTTTTTAGGTCACGAGTTTGGCTGACAATCCAACGATGAATAAATGTTTGCGGATCTTTTGCAAAACTCAAGAAAAATTCACGATTTGTTTTCAATTGATTGATTGTATCGACAGTCTCATGTATCTTTTGATCGAGCACTTGAATCTCTTGCTGGCTGGCCGTACTCATTAGGAAGTTATTCATTTGGTTCTTCAGTGTATCGTCAACTTCAACATCGATATCATAGCAAGCGGTTTGTTTGTGTTCGGTGCTACCTTCAACGGTAATTATATGATTGATGACAATTGGATCGGGTGGATGCAACAATGGGTTCAATCGTTGTGGAATTTCGGCAAATTTCATTCGTGGACAACCGAATATCTGCTCCAAATATTTATCGCAATTGATAAATTCACGTTCGTGAGCATCTTGCAGCTTGTGTGTTTTGATGTACTGCCACAAAGCCGATATGATCACCGGCCGAGTTTGTGTATGCACACCAAGCAATCGTGCCAATCGTGAATCCAACTTGAATTGCAACGGCTGATAGTCGAGCAATAGTAAAATGGTGCAACGTACATTTCGATCGCCTGGTCGTTTCACTTGAAAACCATCGGTCTCTTGGGTCGAATGTGTACGATGCCACTCGACCAAATGATTATCCGGTCCGTACAGATCTTTGTCCAGTTCGATGACCAACGATTTGAAGAAACTTGAGAATTTCCGCTTGATTTTATTCGGATCGCTTTTGGTATCCTCCAATAAACGGCCTTCAACACGTAATTCCCACGATGCAACCGTACCTTCGGTTGCATCGGGCCCATCGCCCGGCTCTTTGCTCGGATAGAATGTATTCGAAATGAAAATACGCAATTTTCGCTTTTGTTTCATCGGACGTTTCAAAGCTTCTTGAATATCGAGCCGTTTGCGCATTATTGTTGCATCCAATTTGCGCTCGAATGCCAACAAATCCATGTAGGCTTGCGATTCGGGCACCAAATCACGAACTTTTTGCGGTAAAATCTTGTCGGCCAACTTCTTCTTTTTCTTTGCTGGATACTCGGCACTAAAACAAACAAAAACCCATGAATTCATTGAAAATGAACGAAACAAGAGTGAGACGACATACTTTTTCGGTTGTCCAGGCATTTGGTTCCGTGCATCTTGCGGTCTTTTGCTGCTCGGTGTATTTGGATTACCTCCACGAGCGCTTGACATATTTTGGAATCCGCTACCCGGTTGACCTGGCTGTCTCTGTTGCGGATGCATTCCCGGTGGACCGGCATTCATTTGTGGTGGTGGCGGCGTAAATCCACGTTGTGCCTAAAAAAAGATCATGCAAAACACCGCAACAACTGTTAGTTATAACCTCAAAGCAAGTCAACAAAGCAACACCCAAAAATGTCAATTTTTACACTTCGATGTATGAAATACGAATATCCACTCACGGGAAAGTTTTGTGCTGGCCCAGAATATGGACGCATCGGAGTTCCAGGCGGTGGCTGTGGCATTGGTTGCTGATATCTCGCCTGTTGTGGACTCTGTGGCGGACCAGTTACACCGCCTGTCTGCTGAAATCTCTGTGACATCGCCGCTTCTACTTTCTTCACGGTGTTTTCAAAACTAATTTCGTCGTGCACAAATCAATCTATGCTATGAAAAATTGTCAACAATTCAAACAATTCCCAAAAGACTGCGAACTTTTTATGAGGATTTCAAGTCAATTTCAAACACAAGAAAAAAGTGACGCCATGTATACTAACACAAATCCTCTTTCGTTTGATATTTTCGAGTGACATCGACGTCGTTTCGATCTGAAGATAGCTGCAACAAGTCAACGCGTGACATGGTACAAGTTCGTGTATACGTAATTTGTGACTGTTCTGAAACCATGGAAAATGAAATGTTAGAATTGGTCTTGGTCGAGAGAATTTCATTTGAGAGACAATTATAGAATTTTTTAGTATTTGTGTGAATATTTTTTTTTAATAAGATATTGTTATGGCGAACAAGAGAAAGAGAAAATCGTTCGGAAAGCGTTGTAGATTCAAAGTAAGAGGAAAACAAATGGATGTGGAAAAGAATACCAAATCTTCTTCCTCAAAAACAATTGTTGACATCAACAATGATTGCCTGGAACGCATGTTCGAGCATTTGGATTTTCGTGACTTAATTTACGTGGCTGAAGCCAACAAACATCTTGGCGTAGCAGCCGAAACGGCTTTTGTGCGTAAACTCAAAAGGAGGCTAATAGCGGTTGAAATTGACGATTCATCTGAGTATGAGTATCCTGATATAAGCATTTACGACGATGCAATTTATATTCGTAGGTCGCTGTTAGCTTTCAGAGCCATACGTCTTTTCAGTCAAAGTGTCTCGACAGTACATTTGAAAATCAAAAGAGATCCATTTCTTCGCGAAAAATTCTTTGTCCATGTCAACGAATATTGTCGCAAGACGCTGAACATTTTCCGCATTTTCGGAAATCATTCAAACATATTCAGTGCCGCAAAACATCCATTTGAAAATGTTGAAGAATTCTCGTCGAGTAAAGGCGAACTAGGTCCTGGATGTGAACATTTCAATCGTCTTTTTCCACGTTTACGTCAATTAAAATTCATCGACAATGATATTGTTGAACCGAAATATATTTACAAAACATTTCCGCACTTGGATGCCTTCACCTTTGAATGCTCTTTTAATTTGGATTTGAATATGTATCGTATTGATTTCCAGAGAATTATCTCTTTGAATCTACAGATTCAGAGTATTGCATTAAACGGATACTTAAATCCATGCATTTGGGATATTTTCAACACGAGACTCAAGAATTTGAAAAGTATTTCAATTTATTATTCGCCAAAGCATGTTAAAAGATATGATTCACACATTCTGTTCAATAATGTTGAAATATTCGATGTGCACTGTAAACATGGTTACAGAAAAGTTACTCCAAAAAATGTGTTCTTTTTCAAGCGTCTAAAGAATATGAAAGTACGGTGCTATAAAAATCAACTCGAAGGGTGGTTAGATTTTATTTTAGGAAATGGATAAGGATTAAATTGAAATGGATAAAAATCATCAGTCAAAAATACATGTCAATTTGCCCATTGCTTGAAAAATTTTACCTTATCATCGTTATTGTTAATCACAAACGATTGTTTTTCTAAAGCATATTTGGAATACAGCGGTTGAAGTTGAACTTTCAAAGTTCTTATTTTGAGCATTAAACATTGAGCATTGATCATAGAGCATTGAACACTGAATACCGAACATGAACAAAGACATGAGCATTTACTGCATTGCATATACCGTACACACTTCTCCGGTGTACACTCACTTGAAGAACAGCATCACAAAGAGTCTATGGTAAAGAGCAAAGCGCACATCGCACATCGCTCTCGTACATAGAGAAAGTATATAACAGTTGAACGAGACTCGTAATGGTATTTTCATTTTTCGACTTGCTACAGTTCGCTCGTGCAACGTATGCGCGCAGTGGTTAAGTGCTCAGTTGAGATGATGCCAAATCATACTTACCTGGTGTAGAGGTATTCGTGATCATTAAGGCGAATCCTCCGGAATGAGGCTCTTTCATTGCACATTCGAGGGGGCTGAACTCTGCGATTATGACTCAAGTTCATAACTCGTGCACACTATTTTTGGTAGCAGGGAAAAGCGTTCGCGCTATCCCTATCTTATTCCATTGAAAAATAAAAAATAAATCATAAATCAGTAAATCTGATTTCAAAACTCTTTGAATATTCAAATCAGTCTATTCAAATGAGTTTGATGCAGCGTTTAGTGTAATACTCTATAACACATATACCATTTAATCATGTAACGTTTAGAGAATGTTTTAATAGAATTTTCATTCAAGTTGCTTCCAGTTCATGAAAAAATTCAGTTCGGCAATGTCAAACGTGCATCTGAATGACATGACTTGAAGATCAAATATTCGAAATTTGTCTCGCCAATTTCATTAATTGCAAACTAATTGAAAATGAGACAACATTTTGTGTTTATAAGGTTCAATTTGGAATATTGACCTTGGCTAAAAATATCGTAATGTAAACGATTTCCAACAAAGACGAAAATATTTGGTATGAAATCATTTCTTGAGAAATGAAACAATGGGCAATAATTCCATCCAAACAAAACGTTACCCGTTTGCAGTATACGGAATTGAATTCAGTGTGTTTGGTCGTTGTAAAAAAAAGAGTTTTCTAGCGTCGACACACATTTGCCTTAAATTAACTCATTAATTGAACTAAAACGAATTTCACCAAATTTGTCTGTGAACGAGTTTAAATGATGAAAAACGTATAAATGAAATAAGCAAAAAAAATGCTGCACGGTTTGTGAGATGCTGAGCGGAAATGTTTTATAGGTTTTTGATTTAGTTTGATGGTTTTGTGCCATTCTAAATTGCTTTCGCTGTAGGTTTAACCAATTTATGAATTCGAACAACGACGATCCAGGATCGATTTATTTTAATAAATATGCGACACGGGCATAAATCAGTAGACGATGCAAAAATGAATGGCTTCAATAAAAACACATTAAATCCATAGATTTTTTTCTGTGTTCACAGCTCTATATAGCATAACTATGTCATAATTCACTGTGATCCCTTCATTTCGAACCGAAGTCGACGCATGTACACCAATATTTCCTGAATGAATGAGTTTGTCAACGTTGCATGTTGTTCACTCTTTTTTTTGCTGTTGTTAAACGAAGGTTCAATCAACCGGTGATAATTTGGTATTGTTTTATGAGAAAAAACAATAACAAACGCAGAGATCTTTCGATTTCGATCTATCTATTTTACCGAGATCAATATCAACGAAATCGACTCGGATGAGCCAACCATCGAAATTTAAATTGAGATGAGATGAGCGACTAGAAGAGTGAAAAAAAATATCGCACACGCATACAAATTCGTTAGATTGATCGTGAAACAATGAACAAGCCTACACCAATAAAATAATTCGCAAAATATCATCATTGCCATTAAAGGCAGTGCCAATCAAATGAAACTATAAAAGACACAGCCAGACCCACCGATCGTCTTAGTTGGATTTTGGTTTGCGAAAACTTAATAGTCGCACACAATTCAGTTTGTTTTGCTTTGGAATTTCAAAATTTTGTTCAGATATTTTTTGTTGTGCAAGTGGAATTCAAAGTGATTTTTATTCGCAATAAAATGTCATTTCTTGGAGCTGGAAATACGTCGGATGTCGAGCAAGACAAAGGATTATCGGATTATCGTTTGAGTCGGAGCAACAATAACCTGGGTCCAAAGCCAACCACGTCAAAATTTGCCGATGTTTTGTGGAATAACAAAAACGATGATTCCGATTCGGAAATCAGCGATTCGGGCAATTTTTTGGCCAAAGGTAAAAAAAATAAATCAAAGCGCAAAATTCTGATTCTTCTGCAAAAAAAAAATGCATCAACTTTTGGATCAAGTGTCAAAAGTGTAGTAACAAAATTGTGTAAACGAAAAACAAAAGAAAAAATAAGAAATGTTTGTGGCCTTTTCTCCAGGTGCATTTTTGATAACTCCATCACATGAGTTGTCGTTGGAACGTGCTGCGATGATTTGTGAAAAGATGAATTTCAAGGGCTGTTTTAGTTTGACGAAAACAGCAACTGGAATTCTGTTCAAATTTTCACATCCAGAGGATTATCAAGCCGTTTACAAGAAGGGTTTTCATAAAGTGACTAATGCCCGATTCTATCGCAAAATCCCAGTGCCCTGTCGCCCGCAAAAAACGTTTACCTTATTCGTTTTTGACGTTCCCGAAGATATACCGATCGAAGATGTGCGACACTCGCTCTACCGTTTCAATTCCGTGGTCGAAGTGGTACGTTTGATTTTGCATCCACAGAATGAGCCAGTAGCACCCGCTCCCACAGGTAAGCCACAAACACAGATCAAAATTCGAAAAAGGCCCCCCGAAAAAAAAACACTTGCATAATCACATTGAAAAACACTTTGGATTGAAGGCACATCATATGTTAAATCACAAATCCTATCTAAAGTTGCTAAAGAACGTGAAGAGGAAGCAAATCAACGGGAATTTCCACCATCACCCATCCGAATTACATTGGCTTCGCTAGACGAATACAACATTCTCCTGCAAAATGGACTGGACTTTTATGGTGCAACATTCTTCCCAACCGAAGCTAATTTAGAGCTAACCGGTCCAGTTCGTATTGCCACCAAAAAAGGAAGGTAATTAAAGATTACCATCGCTTTGATTGCATACAAACTCATTTTAATATCATTTTTTTCATTCCATTTTTCTGAATTCAGTCGAATGATCGACGGAACATTACCGGGTCGCGTTCGCGAATTGCTGCCAGTGTTCGATGCAACGGGTTTCTGCAAAATTCCACCACCAGCCAGCAAAACAATCAAGCCACGCCCATAAGCACACACGATGACAACAACGGCAACGATAAATTATGACGATGACGACGACGACGACGACGCAATTATCATAACCAAATTCCAGCAGTCTAACGAATCATTCAACAATACGTCTTTGAGTCATTTTTCGTTTTGGGAGAAACAATCGAAACACAAAAACCATTTTTTTTTTCTCTTTTTTTGTCGTTCGTTTTTTCGCTTTGTCTTGATCTTCTCACAGCAAAGAGAACAAAAACAAATTTAATTCAATTTAAATGTGCGACAATTTTCTAGTTCATTAATTCGCACGGCATATTTACTACGTTTGTATCTTTTTATTCAGATTTATTCGATTTTTTTTTCGTTCGTTCTTTTTGTCTCTTTTTAGCCTAACAATAACGATGCCAATAACATTTTTTTTGATGATCTATTAAATGACATTGTATAACCGAAATCATTTCTTTGTGTTTGCTTTTTCTGGCATCTGCATTCCGTCTTGAATTAGGTCTTTGGTTTACTAAACCATAAGCCAGCACCGTTTTCAACTGACTTTTTTCTGCTTATTTCGAATAGAAAATTCTGAAACGGTTCACCTTGGAATATAATTGGTCTCATCGCAATGATATAAAATTATAGAAGAAATTGATCAATATGTTGACATCAACTCACTCTCTTTCGTTCCAATATATCCAGTGGATTTAATTTTGATGAAAAGAAAAAAAAACTACTTGCACTTTTAAATCAAGTCAAGTTAAAGCGCGAAACATGGCTGCAAAATATTGATCTGTCAACACGAACATGTGGTTGATACGACGGTCAGTAGTCGCACTCTGTCAACAGATTTTTGTATAGGGATTGCATTCACACACAAAAACATTCTCCGAGCACAAGCATTGTGCTGAAACAAATAAATCGGCCGACAGTTCACAATACAGTCTAAAAACAACAAACTTACGGATATTTTCTCTTAGCGTTTTTGTTCAAGTTTAATTCGCCAATCAATCGAAAAAGAAAACCTGCAAATTGCAAATGTTGTTATCATGGCCGAGATAAAAGTGATTGCAAAAAAATTCAAACAAGACGTTAGCCTCAAAATTTCAAACATCAGCCTACTCGATGAAATTTCGCCAACTGAATTTTTTGTTCAAGGCATCCCATGGAATGTACGGGTTTGTAAAAATGTCAGAAAAGGAGTAGAAAGCCTGGGCGTTTATGTGCACTGCGTGAACACACAGAATTCGCAAAATTGCTCACAGCCGGCAATCGTAACATTCAAATTGTTGTCATTCAACAACAGCACAAATCCGCTTGCATATCAGTGTGAGCCGTATATTTTTGATAACACCGCTATGGGCATCGGCAAATTATCGTTTATTCCATGGAATATTTTGTTTGACATCAACAAGTGTTATGTAAAAGATGATACGATTAATTTGGATGTGTGCATTGAAGTCGATGACCCAGACGAAGAGAACAAAAGCAAATTAACTTTCGAAGAGGCTGAAATAGACGGCGAGGGCGGCAGTAAGAATACATTTCGGTTTTTTGTCACCAATATTGACAATTTATTAGCTGTACAGTCATCGATATTCGATATGCGAAAACTGTCCTGGGAAGTGACAGTTTACAAAAGTCGTTCGTCCACACTCAATGTTCGCTTTGGATCGAAATCGTGTTATAGAAAAATTAAGTATTTGGCGAATGGAAACGTACGTATCAAACTGATATCATCGAATGGCGATGAAAATTCGGTTGAAAAAAGGAAAGATAAATGCTTCAACAATTTCCGCGAACTGCATGACTTTGAGATAGTTTCGTGGGAACAATTGTTCAACCCACACAATGGATTCGTGAACAACAACTCGATCGCAATGGAAGTGAAAATCAGAAGAAGCAAGTCAGAAGGTGGTAGATATGTGGAATGTTTCCTCTGTTTGGCTTTTATCGATGATCAAAATGTCTCGTCTCCCGAACGTAGTCATCAGCTTTGCCCGATATGCATCAAACAATACGGATGCTTCTCCGAGTGATTTGCTCTTCAACTTTTTGCAATTGTGAGTTTCATTTAGATTCGGATTACGTTCAATTCACAAGTTAGGTTTTATATGTCAATATTTCTTGAATTCATAACACACATCAGACAAATCGATGGATGGAAAAATATTGAATATGAAGCGAAGGCGACTATCAGTTGATTGCGACCAGTGATGCAGACAAAGCAAAACTAAAAAATGACTAATTTGTAAAAGTTTTTAAATTATACTGTTTGTTTTATCCTTTTAATTTTAGAAGTAAAGATCATATTATTTTTATAATTGTTTTCCGTATATTTCAAAGATGTTGTGTGAAACCAATTTGCCTTCGGGCAGGACGTGTATGTTTCAAATTGAATCTATCAATGCATGTATGAAAACATGAACGAATAAATAAATGCAACAAAATAAAAAAATCAATTTTGTACCAAGTTATTATGTTAATAATCATATTGCATCGAAGGAAAGGCTCACGAGTGTAAAAAAAAAGTGTATTCGCACTCATTTGATGTTTCTGAAAAATTGAAATGGATTGATTAAAACGAAAAAAAAAATCAAAATGGAAAAAAAAACATTTTGCTTCAAATAAATGTTCAAGTTAAGTGTTTTTCAAAGCAATTACCATTTTCTTTCCAAAATCTTTCATAAAAATTTCGTTTTCTATGTTGAAATACGGTTCACCTGTTTAAAAATACCTCCATATACCATTTCGTTCCATTCCCCGTACTAGACTTTCGTATTTACGTATTGCCACACTCGGAACGCACTGAAATCGAAACTGTGGTCCGCCATATTGTATGCGCGTATGTCATGTCATACGTTCTCCGTCGCACATTATCACTGATATTTTGGCCTTTGTAAACGAGATAGTTGTTTCTTATTTCTATTTTTCTTCATTTTTTGCGTCTTAATAGTGAATAGAATTTGGCCAAAATGTCGTTATCAAGTGCATTGCCACCACCGGTAAATATAACTTACGACCCAGAGCTCTATGATGAGCGATCGATGCGTGGTGCACCTGAAATGGGTGCATTAGTGAGTGCAAAAGTAGCTGCACCACCTTATGGACAAAGAAAAGGCTGGATTCCGCGTTCCGAGGCTGATTTCGGCGATGGAGGTGCTTTTCCAGAGATCACAGTCGTCCAATATCCACTTGGTAAGTAGATGAATTCATCTAAATGAAGTTTTGTATACAATTTGTCAATTTGTGGATTTACTAATGGGAAAGTGTTTTGTCTATTTTTTTGTGTGTGTAGGAATGGGCGCTCCACAGAATGCTGGCAAAAAATCAAATGCACTAGCGATAAAAACCGATGCATCGGGCAAAATTCGATATGACTTAATCGCTCGACAGGGTCATGCAAAAGATAAAATTGTGTATTCAAACATTAGCCAGTTGTTGCCAGCCGAAGTGTTGGCCGAAGACGATGAACTACTACAGAGACCTGATGATGAAAAAGTGGCCGAGGCCACCGAAGCGACGCGTCTTGCTTTGGAAAAATTGACCAATGCAAAGGTATCAGCCGCATTACCAGTTCGAGCTGCAGAAAAAGCGGGACCAGCCCAATATATTCGATACACACCGTCGCAACAAGGCGATCAATTCAACTCAGGTGCAAAACAGCGCGTTATTCGTATGGTTGAAGCACAAGTCGATCCAATGGAACCACCAAAATTTAAGATTAATCAAAAAATTCCACGAGGACCACCATCACCACCGGCTCCGGTAATTTCTTATTTTTTTATTGATTATTCCGCTCCGATGTTGAATTCATTGTTGTTTTCTTTCTCCAAACTTCTTAGGTGTTGCATTCCCCATCTCGAAAAGTAACCGTAAAAGAACAAAAAGAATGGAAAGTGCCTCCATGCATTTCGAATTGGAAGAACGCAAAGGGTTACACAATTCCGTTGGATAAGAGATTGGCGGCTGATGGCCGTGGTCTGCAGCAAGTGCATATTAATGAGAAATTCGCCAAAATGGCTGAAGCATTGTATATAGCAGATCGAAAGGCTCGTGAAGCGGTCGAGGCGCGAACACAATTGGAGAAGAAATTGGCGGCCAAAGATAAGGAAGCCAAAGAGCAGCAATTGCGTCAAATGGCTCAACGAGCTCGTGAAGAGCGTGCTGGTATCCGACCGGCTGACGAAGCTGGTGCAAGTGGTGAGACACGCGAACGTGACGAAATTCGAGCTGATCGTCACCGCGAAAGAGTTCGTGACCGTAATTTGGCCAGAGCCGCACCAGACAAACGCTCGAAATTGCAACGCGAACGCGAACGTGACATTTCCGAACAGATTGCATTGGGTATGCCAGCCAAAACGCTTAACAACGGTGAAACGATGTTCGATCAACGTTTATTCAACACATCCAAAGGAATGGACTCCGGTTATGGAGACGATGAAGCATACAATGTATATGACAAACCGTGGCGCGATGCCAATTCCATGGGTTCACATTTGTATCGACCAAGCAAACAGATCGATCAGGATCTGTACGGTGGTGATTTAGATAAAATTGTCAGTACAAATCGTTTTGTACCCGACAAAGAGTTCAGCGGTACCGATCGTTCGGCGCAAAATGCACGTACTGGCCCGGTACAATTCGAAAAAGAAGAGGATCCATTTGGTTTGGATCAGTTCTTGAACATGGCAAAGAGAACGAAACGAAAGGATGACAAAGGCGCATCAACATCATCGTCGTCACAAGATCGCGGCGAAAAGAAACGCAGAAGAGATTGAACACATACAAACCGCTTTCGATTGGCCATTTCTTTTCCATCATTCAATTTCGTTTTTTCTCCTGAGCTAGTAAGATTTTCAATAAACTGACGATTTAATGCACATTTATTCCAAACCAAATTTATCGGGCATTTTTTATATGGGACATTTTTGAATCTTTAAATATTTTTTGAATTTGTTTGAAACTTCGAAATGGAAGTTTTTATTATTTTAGCTCTAGATCTTATTGGGTGGATCAACCGATTGAAACAATCAATTTCGAATGATATTTGTTCCGCCAACGATAGTCTACAATTGGCAATTCCATTCTGATAACACGTGAGCAACGAACAACGATGTAGATCTCAAATCAATGTGGATTAAAATATCATGAGTCATATATTGTCAAGCTGTCTGATTATATTTTCGTGCATAGCTTATCTCTATATCGGCGCTGATAATCTTTTTGTTACAAAATTAGCGTTGCAACGAACCATAGAGACACACTTTAGTATTTCTTTGAATGAAATGAATAATTTCGCCACTGTTCGAATGGATCAATATGGAAGTAATTGCGTGACTATTATGGTGCTCCATAAATTATTGCGTTATCAGGCTGATGTTATCATACAACGAAAATTCTTTCATCAGACGTCATGTATTTTCCAATAACCTTCAATAAACCAATAAGTGGATTGATTCATCCAACTCTAACACGTGAGAGACATTGATAACGTACAAAATACGCATTATAAAAGCAAATTCTACGCAACAATTGATCATTCGTGTTTGAATAGCCAAAGAGCATATAACCAAAATATTTAGCCATTGTGTCAATAAATTAAATCGAATAGAATTTCAGTGGTACCAAATTTTCCAAGATGAAGTTAATTTCAAGTGTTCTCGTACTTTGCATATTTTCCGTGGTTCACATTGAATGTATTCTCCAAGGGAATAAAATAAACATACAAAACGCACCGTATCTCGTGTCAATTCGTGATGAAAAAGCGGAATACATTGCTGGTGGATCAATCATATCTTCCCGTTTGATATTGACATCGGCACGAGCCCTTGACAATCATAACGAGCCAAAGAATATCAGTGTACTCGCTGGAACCGAAGTTCTTAAAGGAGAATCCGGCACTATGTTGACGATTGAAAAAATTGTGAAACATGAGGATGATATTGCTTTGCTGCGAACATCGGAAGAAATAGTTTTTTCTGATAAAATTCAACCAATTCGAATTCCAACATTTGATCTCTATTCAGAGAAGTCTCCACTAACCGATGGTTTCACCGTAATTGGGTGGGGAAAAGAAAGAAATGTAAGTAATTGTTAATATTAAGTGTTTCAGAAATATTTTTTTACGTAAACTGTACAAAAAATGTTATTAATTTATTATTTTTCTAATAGGAGGACAAACTTAATTATACCTCCGAATTGAAAGCAAGCCAATATCCAGTATTGGATAACAAGAACTGTAACTTGCGATTGAAGGGAGCTCATTCGCAATTTGTGCCATCAGTTGATGACAACAAAATCTGTACAGAACAAAATTTACCAAATAATGGTATCTGTTCAGGAGATATAGGTAAAAATTAAAAGGAATTTCTTATCGCGTTCAATATATTGACAAATAAGACTGGAAATAATGATTGAAATATTTTTTTACGCAGGTTCACCATTGACATCAGGTAACTTTTTGGTTGGAATTGCTTCTTGGTACCATGCAGCTCCATCAAATGCTACGGTAAATTCAAAGTGAAATCAATAATTCATCATTTCAAAACCAATAATTTTTATTTAAATGTTTTTTTTCTACAGCCCGCTAAATATACTTGTGGCAACGGTATGTTTTTTAAAATTCAAATTTCTTTTGTTTTTTTTTTGTTCCTCTTTGTGTTACTCTCTTAACGATGTGTTTTGTTTATTCACAATGTTGAATACAATTTATAGTTTCCTTTCAATGAAATTTCAATAACGTGTTCTTTTTCTTATATTCTCCAGGATACCCAAATGTTTACACCAACGTCTACCAATACCGTGATTGGATCGCAAAAGGTGATGGAAATGCTATCCGTGCTGCAAGCTTCGTATTGATTGCTTTTGGAGCTACGCTCATTTCCATTCTCTAGTCGTATAGTACAATGTGTTCAATTTTGTTGTAAATTCGACATTCATTTACTTCAATAAGAGAAGCAAATGTTTTTCGATGTTAAAAAAAAACCATATCGTTATTAGCTCTTTGTTATTTAATAAAAAAAAAATCAGTAAAAACACGAACATAAACTCGTTAATTGTTTTTATCTCATAAACAGAAAATATTTGGATAAAGTATCCATATGACTTTCTTGGTAAATAAATTCATTCGGTTTCAGAGAAACACTTTTTGCATTCCAATTGTGAGTATTTTTTAGCAAAGCAAAAACCTTCGCATTTGTATTATTCAACGTGATTCTAAACGTTGATGAAAATGTCACAATTCGCCCTGTTTCCAATCGGTATCAGCTGACAGTTGACAGTTTTATCAGTGTTGGCCAAAATGATTTATGTGCCGGAAAGGTGACTCGCTTCAAAATATTGTAAATCATTCATGATTTGAAGGACTTTTTACACGAAATAAATAATTTAAAAATTATAACTTAGGAACTGAAGTCTTGGATTAATTCTAAAATGTTCATGATTCATTTTAAAATGAGGCTTATCGTAAACGATCTCGTATTTTGCTTCCTGATCTACATAAAGCCTTTAGCGGCTGGCACACTGCAACAAAAACCCGTGCAGCAAAAGAAATTCTTAGAAACGAAATTGTGATGATAAAAATCATCATTATTAGTGGTGAAGCAATCATAACTCCTCTAATGACCCCAATTTCAGCGAGCGTCGCGAATTTTATGCTCAAATACTATATGCGTTGTAACTGGGCAGCAAATTTATTGAATTTGATTAAAATGGAGCAATATGGTGTAATTGTGTGGCTCTTATGATCTCATAAATTATTGCGTTATCAAAGTGGTGGTGTTATCATATCGGAAATTCTTCCATTGGATTCGTCATGTACTTTTGTAACATTTTGACGCACCAATAATTGGAATTGGAATTCATCCAACTCTTACACTCGAGAGATGTTGATAAAACGCAAAATATACAATAAAAACCAATGCGTAACACAACAATTGATCACTTGCTTTCGAATAGCCAAAGAGCAAATAGCAACCAATTAACCACCGTGTAAATTAGTTAAAACGAATTTAATTTCAGTGGTAGTCTTTAAACATGAAATCGATTTCAAGTGTTCTCATGCTTTGCATATTTTCCGTGTTCCACATTGAATGTATTCTCCAAGGCGACATAATAAACATACAATCACACCCGTATCTCGTGTCAATTCGTAATGATAAAAATGTTCATATTGCTGGCGGATCGATTATATCTTCTCGTCTGATATTGACATCAGCCCGGATCCTTGACGATATCGATCCTAAATCCCTCAAAGTAGTCGCTGGAACCAATCATGTTACAATAGGAGGCATCACCTTTAGCGTTGAAAATTACGCAAAACATGAGGATGACATTGCTTTGCTGCGAACATCAGAAGAAATCGTTTTTTCAGATTCAATTCAACCAATCAGGATTGTAACAGCCGATCTCAATAAATTTGAGGAAAGAGTATTCGATGGTGTTGTAGCCGGATGGGGAAAAACAAAAAATGTAAGTAATTGCCCAAAATATTTTGATCGTTTGAATGAGTTAAACCAAACCAAAAATGTTATAACTTTTTTAACAGGAGGACAAATTCAATTACACCTCCGAATTGGTATCGAAAAGCTATCTGCTATTAGATACTTTGAATTGTGAATTGCGATTGAAAGAAGTTGATTCGAAATCAGTGCCCGAAATTGATGACACCAAATTGTGTACGGAACAAAATTTACCAAATAGTGGCATCTGCACAGGAGATATAGGTAGAAGTTTATGAATTTTTCGTCGCGTTCAATAATAAACTATATTGGCAAATAAGATCGCAAGTATTAACTGAAGCAATTTTTTCTACAGGTTCACCATTGTCCTATGGTAGAGGTGGCATTTTGCTTGGAATTGCTTCATGGTTCCATGTAGCTCCATCAAATGCTACGGTAAATCCAGAATTAAATCAATAATTTTCCATTTCAAAACGATTAATTTTAATTTTAATGTTTTTTTCTGCAGTCGGCTAAATACACTTGTGGCAACGGTATGTTTTTTATAGAATTGTTTTTTTTTTGATTTTTCAAATTTTTTTTTCTTTCATTATATTTGATTTCAAGTTTGTAAACTCTGTTCATAAATCAATAGTTTTGAGTTTTCTTTCATTTGCATTTTCTGTTTAACATTTTCCAGGATACCCAAATGTTTACACCAACGTTTACTCATACCGTGATTGGATCGAAAATCCTTCTTGGGCCGCGAAAGGTAATGGAAATGCCATCCGTGCCACAAGCTTCGTGTTGATTGCTTTCGGAGTTACGCTCATTTCAATTTTCTAATTGCATAGTACAATGTGTTTAGTTCTGTTGTAAAATTGACTAACAGACTAGCAACAGTTTTTCGATGTTGATATTGGCTCTTTGTTCTCTAATAAAAAAAACCATCAAAAGATACTTGATAATTATACTTTTCTTATCATATAGAAAACACTTCATCCGAACGATATGGAATTTTTGGTAGTATAATAATAAAAAAAAAAACTGCCGGTCAGATAGGTATCAACTGAATTTTCGATGCGTACAAACGAAAATTGACAGTTTTATTGGCCTATGCATGTGCCTGGCCGTGCAAACTGATTTATGTTTTCAAACGGTGACTTGTTTCCAAATATCATAAATACGTCAAGGCTTCGACAATAAGAGCCATTTTTATACGGCGTTTTCTGCGTATTATTCAGAATATTTACGTCATATTCAGGATGTCTCTATGGTTATTATTCATTTTGAAGTATTATCACATCTAAATTTAAATCAAATTCAGACCGGAAAAAAGAGATTTAATCAGATTAAGGAGCCTTGCATAAAATGAAATCGTCACAATTCAAAGAAAACCTTAACAGGAAGGAAAATTCCCATGTCTAGTGTCGATTCTAAATCGAGATGATGACAATTGGTGGAGGAGTGATCTTTACACCTCTATTAATTCTCACTTCAGCGAGTCTTGTTTATTATTTGTGTAATGTCCAAAATCCGTATATAAATTGGTTTGTTTTGGGTTAAAATGTTCATTAAATTCTTACATAAACTCCAGGTGACTCATTCCATTCGACATTTCAAACGTATTGGACATTGAGTTTGATTCGTGTGTTTGAAAATGCATCAAAAATTGAGCCACAAACCAATGAAACTGAAGTGGATCAATTGAACCCATCAAACACCGGCGTTTGTTTCGGAGTTTCGGATCTTTAAACTATATAGAAATGGAATGAGTTGTATGTTGCGGCAAAAAAGTAAAGTCGGCCAACTTGATTGAATTTTAAAAATTTTGTATAGAGATGAATTTACATAGAAAATTATCGCAAACTGCTCGATATAGTTAATTTTAGCCAGACAATAGTCGGAAATTGATCGGCTATACACGTGCGCTCATTTTTCTAGGCAATCCAGTAATAAACAAAAATGGAGTAATATCTTCATGCAAAAAAGGTGATAATTTGAAGGAAAAAAATTGATATTGTTGTTATAAATAAAAAAAATTCTGTCGTAATAAATGCTCATCATTTTGCAGGTAACAACTCTTTCAATTTGTGGTGCCGGTGTGTTTTTTGTCGTGAGTCACGGTAGTTCTTGATCTATGGCATAATTTTAATTTCACGAATAAATTGGTCTACCCCATACAGTTGCTGGACTAATTTTTCCATCGGCAATGACGGTATCTTCTATTTGCTAGTGCGATCGGTTGGATTTTGTCAGTAAAATTCAATAGTTCAGCAAGTTCTATCAGGCAAAAGTCATAATCTTTTTCAAAATATTTAAACAGATGATGTTTTTCACTTTGATCTACGATACAGGATCCACCACTTTTGGCATATGATCAACCGGCACGATCGTAATACCTTCACCAACTCTATAATTTTAAAATAGTTTTTCAAGTGTATAAAACTAGAGAATCTACAGTGAAATAACCCAATACAACAATGGCCAGCTGTAAAAACCTAACGATCTGAGGCAATTGATCCACCGCAATTGTGTGATATCTTTCCATCTTTTGATGACACTTGCCATGGATTTTCCATCTTTCGTCACCACCAACATATAATGTTTTTCATTTAAGTGAGAAATCAAACTTCCTGGGATCAGCACGAAAATAATCGATGATTAATACAGTGAAACATTCCAAAAAGTTTCCCTTTGTAAAGTTTCTAAAAGATGTCTCATACCTGTCGTCAAACCGATTGAAAAAATGATAACAAAAATATTTGCTGCAAGAATATCAAGTGTTTGTGAATATCAAGTTCATTTTAAAGCTATTGATTTAGACGCTTTTCAACCGAACTAGACAATAGTTGCACACGTGAGTCATAATTTGGTTTGAAACAAAAGCGATAAGATACATGTATATATATTTATAGTTCGCACAGTTGACGTGTTTGTTGATCGTTGGAAAATGTATGAAATGTTTGTGAAATTCAAACTAACTTACATAAAAAATAACGACATAGCAGCAAATAAATAATTTTTTATTGCTTCGCTGTCATTTTCATGCTACTCTTCTGAGAATATGAAATAGAAATTACATTATTAACAGCTTGAGGTTGAAAAAATGCACTTTTTGTTGATTATGCACTGTGATAAGCAAATGAACCATTTGTCAAATCTTCACAAAATGCAATATAAAAAAGGAGTTCACCCGGAACCAACGTTCATTGTGGCATAGCAAAGCATCAGAACAATTTGTTTATATTTATTTTTCACTATTTTTTTTGTTCAAGATGAAGTTAATTCCGTGTGCTCTTGTATTTTGTATTTTATTTGTGATCCAAGTTGAATGTATTCTTCAAGGCGAACGAACTTCCATAACTAACCATCCGTATCTCGTGTCAATTCGTGATAATAAAACCAAAATTCATATGGCTGGTGGATCAATCATATCTTCCCGTTTGATATTGACATCGTCATTTATGCTTGACGGTTATGATGATCCAAAATTCATTAGTGTACTAGCTGGAACCAGCGATCTTAGTGCAGGAGGCACAAACATAAAAATCGAACAAATCATTAAATATAAATATGATCACGCTGACATTGCTCTACTGCGAACAACAAAGGATATCATTTTTACGGATTCTATTCAACCAATCGAAATTCCAGCAATCAATTTTGGCAATTCAGATGCCAACGCCATAGTTGCCGGATGGGGAAAAACAAAAAGTGTTAGTAAATGTTGTTATATTAATATTTCTGCATATCAATCTAGACAAAAAAGATGAATAATTTATATTTTTAATAGGAAGACACAGCTGATTACACTTCGGAATTGGGAATGGCCAACTATTCGCTATTAGATAATTTTAACTGTAAATTGCGATTGAAAGAAGCTGATCCAGAGTGGACGCCAATAATTAATGAAAAGAAACTGTGCACAGTTCAAAATTTACCCACCACTGGCATTTGTAAAGGTGATTTAGGTAAAGATTTATGCATTTTTTGCTAGGCTGTTATTGAATTAAGAGGGAATATTTTGATTGAAAATTTGTGTTCCTGCAGGTTCACCATTAGTACTACCAACATCAGGATCAAAGCATCTTCTAATTGGAATCGCATCTTGGTTTCATTGGAAGAAGGTAAATATAATACGAAATCGATCATTTTTAATTGAAGAAAAAAAACAACAAATGTCACTCTAAATACTTCTAAATGTTTATTTTGCAGTCTCCATGCAGCAACGGTATGTATTTTTATAATAAAAATCAATTTTTCATTGTTTTTCGTTTAAATATGCTCAATTCTAAATTTACCTATATAGAGAACATCAATCATTAGGGATATATTTAAATGACGTTTTGTGTTAATACTTTTCAGGATATCCAAATGTTTACAGCAACGTTTATGCATACCGTGATTGGATCGCAAAAGGTGATGGAAATGCCATTCGTGCAACAAGCTTCGTATTGATTGCTTTAGTTGTTACGCTTCTTTCAATTTTCTGAATCACATAGATGTGTTGAATTTTGCTATATATTCGACATTCATAGGACATGTAATGACAATAATAGGAAACTCTTTTAGTTCTTAAAATCTAATAAAGAAAGTGCCAACAGCTGTACATAGGAATGTCCATAAGAAAGTGCCCTCTTTGTCAAATATCTTGTTGTTGGTCAAGAAAAAGTGTGTATAGTTTCCTGTTGTTGTGTAATGATCATAATTGGCTATTTCCTGTTTGAATCAAAAATATTTAATAAAAGCACTGTCACTATATTTCATGTGAACTATACTCATCTCCTCATTCAAAACCTTATCCGAATCCGATTTACATTACCTTTATTTTGGAACTGATACAAATTTTCGACCAATTTAATATCAACTGAATTTTTGATGCGATACTAAGCGAAATGTGAATGAAATACACGTCATTTTCTGTTACTTCCACATACAAGAAGGGATTTTCAAATAAACTTTTCACAACCAAATAGAAAATAGATTTTATTTGTAGAAAGCAATAAGCAATAAAATGATAGCGCCTCGCAATTGCCAAGAGAAATTCCAACGAAAACTCAACTTTGTTGAACTCTAATTGAATTAAACTAAATGAAGAAATATCAACACAAAGTAGGAATTCAAACTACGTTCTATCGTTCTTTCCATTTCTGTTGCGTAAATATGCATATCGATTAGTTGTAGAGTGTGTTTTTCTTTTTCTGCATTGCAACAATGTAACTATGTTCTTTCTCGAAATAGGATAAAACCAGAGCAAGTTCGTTCAAATTAGCATACATATTAGACGTAACATTTACTGGTTTCCGTGATATCGGCAATAATTCGTCGAATTTTATGTCGTACGATGATGGCGCATTGCCGACATTTGGGCTCGAACATTCTCCTTAATTAGACGGATTTTTGCACGCATGTTTCTTATTACACATGTCTTGATGTTTGGCACTTCAATCCAGTCGTAATAATTAAAGCAAAGCTTGGCTACCAAGCAGCTTACTCAGTACACAAACTAATCAACGTGCTCTGTATAAAAGTATTTGCAGTAAATTATGTTCAATTTTGTTAAAGTTTTACTTCACTTTTACATACATTTACTCGAGGTTCCGACAAAGTTGAGAGGCAAAACCAAAGAATTCCCATAAACTATCGATTTCAACGACTTTGTGAATACTTACCGGGTCACAAGTACAAGCTTTCATTGGAATTTATCGTTGTTTCAAATTACGACTGCACTCAACGTCAGTTCATTGTGGCAGGTTGAAAAGGCAAAACTTATCGAAACTAAAACTCAATCTAAGCCAACTAATTCCGTTTAGGTTTTGCTTGAAATTGATACAATTTACCTTTCAAAGCTGGATGCGACGAATCTCGTTACAATGAAAGCACATTTTTCATGAGCATTCCGAATGTTCGGTTCAAACCAATTTCTAGCCAGAGAACAAATATCCATCGATGATTCACCATTAAGAAGGAGTGTTAATGGGTCATTCATTCCAATACCCATTTAATCGAAAAAAAAGGCATTTGAATGCAACCGATTTTAATACGAAATGCATTTTATTCGCGATTCGACCTTGGATGTATACCTCCATTGATGCATCAAGTGTCCGTTTAATAAAAGATACAAAGTAAAAGCCGTACGTGCATTAATTGGATAATTGGCGTGGCATCCAAACTGCTCGCGCGCGCACACATAGTACTCAACAAAATCGAATGCATATTCAGTTTTTTAATCTTTATTGAGGTTTATTATAAAATTTTTAATTGTTCTTCCATATTCACTGAACACCGAACAAATGTACAATCAAAAAGATATGAAGAGTGGTTAATAATAGGATTGGCTAGTGCATTGGATAATTTCATTTTGTTAATGGTTTCTTTTTTTCTCGATCGGGTGTCGATGGCAAGCGAGTGTATACGTTTGTGTTTAGTTTTTTTTTTCTTCTTCTTTTTAAACATCAATATCTAATGGAAAACGGATATATAGATAAAAAAAAGCGACTGTGTCTAAAATAGAATAAACAAAACGAAAAAAAAGAAGAAATTCAAATACAATCCCAGAATTAGTCACATTGACCGAAATGATTTTGGTCTTATTACATTTATTAAGTTCTTCAAAATTTATTTTGTTGTTGTTTTGTTTTTGTTATTCTCTGAATAATAATAATACAATTACAATGGCAAACAAATTAGATACATCCGTTTTATTTGTTTAGTGTGAAACAATGATGTGTTTCGTGTGTGCGGAACACGACAATGAGAACGAAACTGAATGCAGAGAGAAAATAAAAAGTACATCGACTATATCAGTCAAAGAGTTAAGTGTTGATTTCTGGTTGAAACGATATGTACGATGAGTGGGAACTGGGGAATAGAACAGAACAGAACAAAAGCAAAAAAAAACTGAATGATTTTAAAGGAGCCAGTTAATCGAGTATCAACCATAAACGACGTTAAAGTTTACGTTGTTTGTTGGCTCTTTCAATGGCAGTCGTTAGCGTTGGATGTTCCATTACTCATTCTGCATTTTAGCTTGATGCATTCATTTCTTTGTTGTTATTGCTTTTGCTGCTGTTGCTGTTTGCTGTTTGCTGATGCTCTGCCAAAATGAGCAAAAAGTTAATCTTCTTCACTTGCGTTTATTATATACAAAATATTTCTTAAATTGTTACGTTTTTAAATTAAAATAATCAATAACATCTTTAAGTAAACAATGAATTGAAACGGTTGTTGTGGGTTGTTCTTTGTGCGCCTTGTTCAATCGTACACGATGACAAGTTCATTTATTCTCTTGTGTGACACTGGTGAAAAAGAGGCGACCAATTTGTCTTTCTCTGTGTGTTACAACGGTTTGAAAGGAGAAAAAAAAACTAGCACAAATGGATTATCTTGCTGTCTTTGATGCGGCCGCTCAATTTTCAAACATATCTATTTTCAGAGAGGTGATTTTTTTTAAGGGCTATAAATAAAACTCCGTTTTATGGCATTTTGCGACATTTTTCACGTTTCTTTCAAATAAAGTAATAAATATGGATGCTAAAAGCACTTTTGACAGCGAACGATTTAAATTTAGTTCGTTTGGCTCATAAAATTAAGCTCCTTCTTTTTCACCGTGATCTACATGGTAGGCAGTATATACTTCACTCGCACAGAAAGGAAAAGAAATCACTGGAAATCCATTCGGAAGAGAGAAAAAGAAAAATTAAAACCCAATTCAGAGCTCCCAATGAAAGAATGACGTTAAAACGAAAAAAATATGATTACAAATACATCTATATACGTTAGGTAAAACAGACCCTACATTTTACATTCACAATATTCAATGTTTAATTTGATTAATTTGATTTTTATTTTTGCTGCTTGCTTCTTTAATTTATCGATAAATCCTTAATGAATGAAATTACGAGCTATTACCAAGAGACGTTTAAATGTGTGTGTGTGTGTGTGTAATTTTTTGTTGTTTGATCTCGTTAAGAATTTAAATTTGTTGCTGTAGCTACCGCTGATGCATCTGATTCACATCTTCTTGTTATGCAGGTCGTAATTTGCGTTCTTTTTTTTGTTTTGTTTACTAAATTTATACCTTCGTCTTTAATATAGTTTTTGTTGTTGTTGTTTATAATAATAATAATATTAATAATAATCATTGATACATCTTAAATAAATAAATATGGTTTAATTCAATGTAAATCTAAAATAAAAATTATGCCAGAGGAGAAATGAATTACAATATCATTTTATCATATTTTGTTTTTAGTTGTGCTTAAATGTTAATGTAAAGAGTGTATGTTGTTTGACTTGTTTCTTTTTATTCATCTTCTTTTCTTTTTCGTTTTTAATGATTCGTGAGTGTTTATCTTAGTTGATTTTCTTTTTCATCAAGATATTATTGATAAATGATTATTTTTTGTATCGATCATATATTTTGTTCGTGTTTTTTTTTCTTATTCTTTTACTGTGTTTTGATGCATCGCGTGGTGCAAGGCGGCGAATGCACGCACGCTTGTGTAATTCCAATGACACAGGCTTCATTCAAGTGTGTTGTAATTGTAATAAATAGGTTATTTATCGTCTTTAAATTAAATAATTATTGCAATTCGAGAATATACGTATGTTTTGGCTTCTCTCCTGCGACGAGCAGAAGAAGAAAAGTTTGTGAGTAATTCGATGCAGTTTGTTTTTTTTTTTCTGTGTATGTATCTTAATGTTGAATGTGTTTGTATTGTTTTCTAGTCAAGCTACTATATATATTATGCTATTGCGACTCGATTGATGCTGTTGCTGTTGTTTTCGATTTTGTGTTTTGTTTTTTTTCGCCATTTTTCCACTGTATCCCGTTACATACTCAATGGTTTATTGATGATGTTAATGTTTGGCGCGTTCTCATATTTCCCACTACACTGTATCTGATATTCATTTGACTCGGGCACAATACACATGGATAGACTATATAAGAGATACACAGATATATATTTTTTTATTTTTTTTTTTGGTTATTCGAACCTGGAACATTGTGTTCGAAGAAACAAAACAGCACATACACACATAATGAAGAATAAAGAAAAAAGAGTTTGCCCACGCGCGACTCTCATACACAAAATCAATGCACATCATCGATGCCGTTCCAGTTTTTGTTTTTAATGCCGTTCATCGTCGTATTTCGCTTAGTTCGGCTTCTTTCCCTCCACTCATGATAAAATGACTTCAATTATTTCTGTTTTCATATGTGCGGATAGATTTTAGTTGTTGCGTTTTTTTTCCTACTCCTAACATTACTCTCTTTTTTTTTGTTTTTTTTTTCTGTTAATTTTGTATCCGATCGATTTCGCTTCCTTTCATATTTTTTTTCCTTTTTTCTGATTTAGTATCTCGTTCACCACTTTGTGTAAATAGTGTACGGATTCATTTGCTGGACTTGGTATTTGCCCCGGAATGAGCATTGGTTGGCGACGGCGACGGTGACGGCTTCGGCGTAATGAATATTGTATCGGAGCTATTGGACGCTGAAATGATTTTGAGTATTGTTGCTGCTGCTGCGGCTGTTGCTGCTGTTGTTGTTGTTTTATTTTTCTTAGGTGATTTTTGCTGGTGTTGTTGTTGTTTGTTCATATGTGGATTTTGTGTGTTTGTTCATTACACATGTGTTTGTTTGTCGTTGGAGAAGCGTAAACTTGTTTATCCACAAGCGTGATCGCGTCGTTGAAAACGTTTCATTCGTCGATACCAATCGTCTTTCCATTCGATGACTATTGAACGTGGCCCAATACCAACAGTACCTGAGGGACTTTCGATGTCTTTGCCCAAAATTAAATATGATCTAAGAGATTCCGAGTGAAAGAGAGAGAGAGAGAGAAATATAGAGGAAGAGATAACACAAAGCGATTCACATCAACAATAAATTTATACATGTAGCTAGTATGCTTTGCTTCTTGGTACACACGTACGCAACAAGCGCTCACATATTTATGTCCGATTGGGTGCGATGCGCTTTTGGGCATTGTGCACGCAATTCATCGATACATACACATACATTTATTATATATGTAAAGAAAGAAGAAGAGGCAGCCCTTGAGAGCCGACAGTAAATAATTCCAATTCCGATGCTACGATTAAAATGAACGAATAGCCAGAAATAGAGAAAGATGAAGTACTCACCTATTTGCCTTGAGCTTTGGACAACGACATTCTAAATCTTTAGCCGATATAATTAGTGGTACGCTCTTTCGTACAGTTGTTGCGGCTGAATCTTGTGACTTCTTGAATACGGCTTGGATTTGAATATTGAACTTGGTCGATTGATATGGTGAGTCCTTTGCATAGCGGCTCGATTCTCGTTCAACAATACGACCCATGATTGCTATAGTCCCATATTTTTTTTTTTTTGATCACAATTTGATACAGAAAGTTTCAATCGAAGAAAAAGAAGAAGACGAAAATAATAAATTAAATTGAAATAAAAAGTTTAGTTTCAGTCAGGATTTTCGTGCAATTTCTTTTTCTTTTTGGCACTTTGAAACTTCCATTTTATTGGATTTCGAAAATTCTTTGGAAAGTAGTAGTCGATAGCATGGAAATCATTCACTCACCATAATCCCGTTTGCAAAACTTATTCAAATTGAGCCGTTTTGTTCCGGATTTACACTTTCCGCATTCTAAACGAGTTGAAAGAAATACACACAAAATATTATTATCATTAAATCGAACAAAATTGCATGAAATGACCGCGCCGAAGCACTAAGAGAAAAAGTATTCAACACAAATGCTCATTTTGTTAACTTTTTTTTTTCTCTCTCTCCAAATAAAAGACTTCCACTTTAAACATGAATTCAATTCGTATTTAAAATGTAATCGTTTTTGGTACGTGCAAAGGCGTTTGAATACTTTCTTTCTCGCTTTGAAATTGCTCCGTTCAAATCCGTTTAAGCGGAAACTTTTTCCGTTCATTTAAACACATGGAAAGAGAGACAGCACAGATTACCGTAGTAGAGAAGTAAAAAAATGAAAACATATTGAATTGTTATCTCACCTCGGCCGCTACCAGCACCAGCAGCAGCACCACCACCACCACCGTTGTCGTTGTCAGTCTGATACGGATCAGCATCATACTGTTGAACTTCGGGTGCTGTATTTTGTTGCTGCAATGCCGTAATTACGCGTGGAATTTCTGTATTCGGTTTTAGAAGAAGAAGACAATCAAAAGAAAAATTACAATGAAATGCGAGTTAGGAGTGGATGTGTGTGTGTGTGTGTGTAGTTGCTTGCACAATTCAGCAAAAAGACCATCCATTAAATTGTGCCTGCAAACACGAAAATTCACAATTTTTCGATGCACTTACACACACAAAATCAATATACACCGGTGCAAATACAGTAATTGCACAGGCATTTGCCAATCTTCATGCTCTCTTCTGTTGGCTCCTTTTGGCGCTCAAGACACGCTCCATGATGATGGAGTCAGTCCAAAAGGAAGAGAGCAAAAAACGACATGACAAAAACAAAAACAGAAAAGAAACGCAACGAAAACTTACTGATGCACGGTGCGATATGTGACCGACTTTGCTGATAGCCACGAGCACATCGATTACAAGTTAATCCAGTTACGCCGTCTTTGCATGGACACTGGCCCGATGTATGATTGCATGTTTTACCAGATGAACCAATCGGATGACAATCGCATGCTGTGTACACAATGAAATACAAAATAATGGATCAGTTAAATTGTGCATTTGGCCGATGGATGCTGCTACAGCAGCAGCAGCAGCAGCATCATCCAACAGCAGCACCAACGTGTTTATTTTATTGAAATTCAGATAAATTTTCTCCCCAGACCAACGAATCCAAACATACTACACACGGACGACGAAAAAAAATAACAGAAACACCGTGTGGCAATTTGTTACGGAGAAAATCGATAATGAATCGCTGCAGAGCAAAAGCGCCACGATTTCTTTCTCAATGAATGGATTTTGATTGGCTAAAATCGATTATACAGAAAGAGAATAGTTGGGCTGTATACTTACGCTTGCATACTTTACGATGACCAATTGATTTGGTTGGATCACGGTAATAGCCTTCTTTGCAATAGTGGCAATGACGTCCAGTTGTTGCATGCCGACAATTCAAACAAACACCACCCGATACACGGCCAGACAGTTTGTACAATTCCATGTTGAAGCGGCATCGTCGCGCGTGTCCATTACAGTCACAGGCTGCAACATAAAAATAAAACAAAAGAAAACCATTTAGAATGATATATTTAAGGAGAGGTAAACATCAAAGATTTCCAATGATTTATTTTCCATGGTGAGAATGTGTGTTATGTGCCGTTGCGGCGGCAGTGAGAGCGCGCGCACCCTGTTACCGTAAATTGAATGCGGCATTTAAACGAACGTGAACCATTCAAAGGCAAGAGAAATTAATCCACCATTCTTTGTAGCTGTCACCGTTCGTTTGTTTGTTCACATCGTAAATTATTTCGGGCTGTGTGTGCTTTTCTTTAAATTAATACTAATGATAATGAATTGAATTCAACGAAAATATTTATCACGAGAAGCATTTTTGTTTGTCTTCACTTTTGTCTTGTGCTCGTTACTCGCATTAAATGAACCGATGGAAAACTGAAAAATGACTCAATGAATAAAGTTGAAGACGGCAAAGCAACCGCAGGCAAAATCATGAGAGTGAGAGATAAAGAGAGAGAAAAAACGCACACACACTTTAACGTCACAAATTTGAACAATTTTCAATTAACATCTCGAGAAAATTCAATTTCATCATTTTATTGTAAAAGGTCTCTATTTCATTTGTACTTATTATCGCTGTCGGATTCTGTGGTTTAAATCAATACACGAGACGGCATTCTGCTTATATATAATATATCAGAGATGAAAATGTAAAATATGCGAGAACATGCTCTCGAATCCATTCTCGTTCGTTTATTTACATTATCGAAGCAATGAGCAGCTCTCGAGCTCAACACACGCACTGAAACCAAAAACCGCCCGAACCAAATCGAACTGAACTGTGTGTGAGTGTGAGAGAGAGTTTCAAACAGGAACGGCGGATGACGACGATGATGAAAATGATGTAATAATTTGATGTATCCATTACGAGTTTCAAGTGCGATACCTTTTTCAAAATGTAGTCTATGCCATTAAACATATATGCGTAGAGTACATACATATATGCGGTGTTAAGTATGTTGATGTAGAAAAAGTGATGGTACGACCACGATCTAAAAATATCACTACCTTTAAAGCAATTCTGTGGCAATATCAAAGATTTTGTACAAGTGAACGAGAGCCGCAGCGAACGAGAGAGAAAGAGAGAGTGAGAGAGAGAGAATGAGAACAAAATAAAACAACTAAAAAGCCCTAATGAGCCTTTGTCGATCATGTTCACGTTGTTATTCGATTTCATGTCTCGGTCATTTCGAACGAAAAACACATCATTTTTCGTGCTTCATTTTCATCGATGATACTGCTCTCTGTCTTTAACAAGCCTTTCCCATATATCTATACATGTGCTTTTGAGTTTTTCGACCGGAAAAATTCAGTCTGTGGTTCTCCAATTTCAATGGAATAGACCGACCAAACGTCGAAAAGTGAACACACAAAAACGCTGAGCATGTTCGATCGTTGAGTTTTATTCGAAGGGCCTTTGATTGTAATTTCCTTGAAGTGTGGTTCGGTTTCAATTAATGTTGGTTAAATAGATTAATTAGATCTTGTACAAAGTACTTCGATGTCATCTAATTATATAGTTGAAACTAGATGGCAAGTGCCAATGGCTAAAGTATGCTATTGCTCCCCCCTACGAACAGAAGGAAAAAAAACCGAGGCAGCCAATCAAAATGACATATTTGTTGTCGGAAAAAATGATGTTTCATCTCATCAATAAGAGAAAAGAAAACAAAAATCGTTCGATAGAAACCGAGCAAACACTAACTAACGACGATGAATTTCTTCTGAGGGGGAAGGCACCATCTTGAAAAAAAAAAGATGCTGGTATTCAAGTGCATTGATATCAATTTCGGTAAATTACTTTTAGGCTGTGCCTCTACTCACACGACACCATACAATTTCATGCGCACGAGCTCATTTTCATATGAAATGCATTAGACTAATAAATTCCTCAGAAAGCCATCACTCCATTTGTTGACCACGTATCCAAACGTAAGAGCACATTGAAAGCATTCTAATTCAATAGCATGAGATGTAAGTTATGCACTTACAATGTACGCTGAAATATTGATGTATAATGGGCTCGCCGGAATTCTTCCGGTTAAAGAAATTCAAAAGTTGTAATTCTTTAGATTTGTGAAGTGATTTGCATATTAAGCACATGAAATGGCATTTTCTTTATGCGTACCAACGACGATGTTCGTAAATCATTTGAAATGGCTAAACAGCAGCAGCAGCAGCGACAGCGCAACATTGTGTGCCGCGCTACGTGAGAACCGAAATTCCAAAATGTGTACAAAAAATTAATTTCCAAATGCACGAAATGAAAAGAATAAATAAGCTTAAATTTGTCCAATTTGCTGGCTGTCAGCGAAACGATTGTGATTGTTTGCGAACGAGCGGGCGAATGAGCGAGCGAATGAGTGGATGTGTGAGAGAGATGGAGACACAGAGAGAGAGAGAGAGAAAGAGATTTTGTAGAGCAAGGAAAAGGTACTTGAGTCAATAGAGAAAGAGCAAACAAACTGTCATGAGGAACATTTTCGCTGAAGTTCAGTTCATTCGGTGTGTGTGTGTGTGCGCGGCTCGTAATCAAGGTAATTCAATCACAAGAATGTGCTCACTGTGTACTCTAGCAGTTCAGCGTTTGCTTTTCCGTTTTCACACAACTCAAATATGTACCAATTTTTGGTTTCTGGTTGTACTATGTATGTTTTTGGTGTATATTTTTTTATTCTTTTTTCCCGTGTACTCTTGACACACACACACACACACACACAAGATAGATGATTGGAATTGAATGCTGTTTCGATGCTCGAATGGAGATATACACACCAGTGCTGGAAATGATTCAGCTTTGATAAATCAGAACAGAAAAAAGGCCATCATCAAAGCGCACATAAATTCCAACAATTTGGGCAAACATCGAGGATGTTCCGTGTTTTTTTCTCCATATCTGTCTGCTGATGCTTTGCGCTTCAATTCACGGTTTTTCATGTGCAAGATCGATTAAATCAATGGAAACAACGTAAGCGAATGAACAGCAAGAGAAAGCAAGCACCCAATTTTTTTCTCTATCTACAAAAAGATCAACAAATTTTTCAAACAAAAAAAGAGCATTCTTTCGTTTGTTCTTTCGATTTATCTTAAGCGGTTTTCAATCGAGGTTTTGGTTTTTGGTTTTGCTTGCGCAAAAAAAAACAACACACAGTCGCTTCATGAATAACCACTCGGATAAAGTGCTGTCGATGTCATTTCCACATTTAGCCAGTGCAAAGAGTGTGAAAAAAAACAATGATTTATAATTTTCGCCTTGACAATAATCCGTTTAAATTAAAAATTCATAATCTTTAGCCCGTTGAATGTGTGTTACGTTCGATGGTGTCTTTTTTTTCTATCTCTTCTCTGTCGGTTTTGGTTTGTTAGTGCTTGTGGTGTGTGTCATCGTTGCCGCGTTATAGCTTCGTTTGTAAATTCGATTCCAAACCGCTTCACTAGATCCATTCCCACTCTGTGTCGTGTCTGCTTCGCATTAGCGAGAGAGCAAGTGTGAGTGAGAAAGATCATTTGTGCCCGTTCGTTTGGTTCATACATTTTCCCGCAATATCTCGAGTAAAATACTAATTTATTTATGATGTTTGTAAAACGCGAGAGAGCGTGCGAGAATACTTGTTGACGTACTAATGTGCTATTAATTTTCATAAACAAAAAACA